GTATAATATATGTAAATGGCTAGAAAAAGTAAATAGAAAATATAACCGACTATTTGTATAAAGTTCCCAAATTTTAAATTGTAACTAACGCTAATACCTGACGTAACTTGTTATACTTGAGTAACAAATGAAGAGTATCTCTTGCTAGAATTTGGAATTTTGGATAAAGTTGATTCCATAAATGGGACCTTTATGTTGCACTGTTCAACATGTTGGCTGATCTTAGGCCTTAGCACTTTCAATGCATTATATTGTGACAAAGTAATGTCCCCTCTTTAGTCGGTCACAAATACATGAGCTGGTGAGATATATAGTGACAAACTTCTTTGCATTTGAAGGACCCTCTTATGGTTAGCACCTCAGAGTCTCAGACCGTGATATCACTCAGTGATACTTGTATTAACAACTTGTTTGGATGGTTGCTACCTATTATATTGTATCGTATTGTTACTTTAAATACGATGTTTGTTTTGATTATTACTTAAATTTTATTGTATCGTATCGTTATCCATCGTTACGTAACGAAAAAATGTGTCACTTTATGTAACGACCGATTTGGTGTGGTCACATCGTCACCTTCTCTCTTTCTCTCATCTCTCCCTTCATTATTACTAAATAATTTTATTTTATCATTTACCCTACCTTTTTATATAATAATTTTATCCCGTATCATAATTTTTCTTTATAATATTGCAAGTTTATTCTTCATATTGCTTGTGCATGATATCATGAAACAACGGCAAACGATACAGTATAATACAATACGATACATTATGAAACGATATGTAACAACTAGGGGTGTACATGGACCGGATTGGTCCGGTTTTTATCAAAACAAAATCAAACCAACTATATCGGTTTGGAGTGGTTCGCTTTTATCGGGTTTTCCGATTTTTTCGGGTTTTTTGTTACTTAAATATTATTTCAATCTTACTTTGTTTAATTTTTTATAAGTAAATTATGTTTAGTAAAATTTAAAAAAATGACAAACATATTATCTATTAAAATATTCTTATAGGAGAATTCTTAGTAATACATGATAGTTATATTTTTAGTCGTCTGACAATAATTTTTCGTTGATGTACACTTTAAAGGTTAACCGGATTTAGTAATTAAACGTAAAAGTTAATGTGTACCTATATAATAATAACCACTTCAAATTCGAAAAAAGATATAAGAATTGGGAAAAATACATAAGATGCACCCCGAACTTGTCCTGAAAAATCAGTTTCCAACTCAAACTTTACGGGCGTTTTTTTCCCACCATGTACTTGTCCAGACTGAATTTATTTCCTCCCTAAAAATATATAACCAAGCTTGTGGAGGGCTTTGTTCTTCACGCTCCGCCACATGTCAATTTCTAATTTATTTTATCTTTTTCAATTATTTTTTCATTTTAAAATTATTTTCAATCCCACTCCACCCCTGTCTATTTTGAAAAAGATATTAGGTTTCCATGGAGTTATCACTATTTTCTCTCCTTTAACCATAACCATTAAAGACCACCAAATCAGACCACCATATCCTAAAGGAAGAAGTTCGGGCAGAACAAAGACGGAGAAGAACAACCCACCAAAGCTCTTTGATTGAATATTGACCGGAAAAATTATTCGATAAACTCACCGACAGAGAAAATGAAGACGGCTAGAAAAGAAACTCTTCAGTGGTGATTTTATTTGATCTTTTGGGACGAGCTAATGAAATGAGGTTGGAAAAATATTGGAGGCATGGGTCAGGTGAGAAAGAAACTGGTGGGGTGAAGGAGAAGGGGAGATTAGGTGGCCCAGCAATGGTGGGGATGTAGCAGGGGCTGTGTATTTTAGGTTGGAGAAGAGGAGACAGAAGAATGGATTGAGAGAGAAGCAATAAACTAAAAATAAAAAATAAGATAAAGAAAGAGAAAAAGAAAGTGAGACCCCATGATTAATTAAGTTAAGTTTAATATATAATGTCAAATAAAAAAATAATATGTGTATGATTTAGTATGTAATTAATATTCTTTTTTTGGTTCTGCACGAATTTGGGAGAGTGAAACCACCTTCTCTGATATGTCACCATTTAGGGAGGAATTAAATTCAGTCTGGGCAAGTATAGGATGGAAAAAGAATGCCCATAAAAGTTGAGTTGGAAACTGACTTTTCAGGACAAGTTCGGGGTGCATCTTATGTATTTTCCCTATAAGAATTTAATAGATCTTGACATATGAATATGGAAGAAAAAATAAATTGATGCATTTCAGTAACACTTGACAAGAAAGTAGTCATACAACCCATTATTTAAGGTTGACAAATATGGAGAACTTCATATTCTATTAAATATTATATCCCGTAAGAGAATCCCAAATATTTCTAGATATTTTTTAAAGAAAATCCTATAAAAAATCTAAAAAGCATGTAAAAAAATTATATATTTATATATCGGTTTCGTTCGGTTTTTTTTACTCAATACCAAACCAAATCAAGCCAAACCTAGTCGGATTTTTTAATCGATTTGGTTTGACTTTTCGGTTTGGTGCGATTTTTCGGTTCGCCCTAGTAACAACCATCCAAACAAGCTGTAAGTTGGCTGCCTACATTATATACCTTTGGGATACGGTCCTTTTCCAGATCCTACGTAAATGCGAGATGATTCGTGCACCGAGCTGCCCTAGTGGAATTTTTACAACGTTTTTTGGATTTGCCGATCTTTGTTTCAGCTAATGCTACCTAGTTTTCTTTTAAAATTTTTAACTCCTATAGCAAAGGTATACACCCTATTTATTATAAATTAAAATTATTTTAAAATACTATTTTCTATAGCTACCTTTCATATTTTATAGCAAAATAAGTATTTATGGTATATACTACCATTGAGGCATGAAATAAGGCATGAAATACGCTATTTATGTTTTTCCTCTCTCTTAAACAACTTGACATACCTATTTTTAAGGTGATTGTCGTTACCGTATTCATGAATATATTGCGCGAATACATGTGAATACATGCGCATACAGCTGGACTGCCCTGATTTTAGGCGTTTTTTACTGCTGTATTCATGAATACAGCAACGCGAATACATGTGAATACATGCACGTACAGCTGGACTACCCTGATTTTAGGCGCGTATTGTTGTTGTATTCATGAATACATGGCGCAAATACATGTGAATACATGCGCGTACAACTGGACTGCCCTGATTTTAGGCGCTTTTTACTGCTGTATTTATGAATACAGCAGCGCGAATACATGTGAATACATGCGCTTAGAGCTGGACTTGCCTGAATTTAGGCGTTTTTTGTTGCTGTATTCATGAATACATGGCGCGGATACATGTGAATACATGCACATACAGCTGGACTACCCCGATTTTAGGCATTTTTTGCTGCTCTATTCATGAATACAACAACGTGAATACAACGAATACATTACCGTAACAACTGAATAGTAGCTATAAGAAGTAATTATGTATATGATAACTATAAAAAATTAATAACAACTAAACAATAGTGATTTCTGAAAATTCCTCTTTTCTTTTCAATTAATGGCCCATAGCATACAAAACAAAGAAATGATACACAAATTTTAACTGAATTGATTAAAATGCCTTCCATGATTTGTTAATGCTGATAAGCAGTCAACGTTACAGAGAGTTGTCTGCTATCATTAGTGTTACTCCGTCATGTCCTAAATTATCTTTCTCTCTCCTCAAAATAAATATAATTATTGGGATTTTTTTTAAAAAATCTCTCCTTATAATGAATATACTTTTTAAATAGTATAGATCATTTATTGGAACAAAGAGTAATTTAGATAATTCCTTCTTAATCTTTTAAAATGTTACTTATTCCTTTCTTGATTTGTAAGATATTACTTATTTTGAATGAAATTTGTTTGGCTTAAATGAATTTAAAAAGGATCGAACTATTATGTCAGAAAATTGTGTCTTTAGCTATCCAAAGATCATATTTATATAGGCGGTACTTCAATGGCTAGTTAACAACTAATTTTTAATGAGCGTTATTGGCTAATTTCTAACTGTTAGTTTGACTGTTTCAAGATGAGATAAAGTTAATAAAAATAAGGGACACTTCCTTTTGAGATACCCACAAAGTCCAACAATTTCTCACATATCTCAAAAGGAGTATATAATAATAAAGAGAGAGATTATAATCTGCAGGATTTCAAATATAATAAAATTCATCTATGAACCAAATATAGATAAAATAAAATTTAACTTACAGAATAATTGGTGAAGTCGAGAAATTCTATAAACCAAAAATTTGAATAGGAGAAAATGAACCTACTAAAGACTCATACTTCTAACTTTTGTACATGCAGCTGGAACAAACTTGAGACTAAAATTTTACTATATTACTTTTGTGATATTAACCCCACAAAAAGACAAATCCTACCTGGATTTTCTCCACCTCGTATCATAAATCAGTAAAAAATCTTTGCTTTCATGTGCGTACCTACCAAACGCAATAATTGAATCTACTTTTCAAATTTTCGTGATTTAATTTTCCTTTAATAATTTTCTTGAATTCACACCAAAAACGACAGAATACAGAAGGTGACAGCAGATTCTTAGGTGACAATAGTCTAATTCCTAGACAATAATATTTACCTATAATATACCCCAATTATTATATTTAGTATCCATTTGTCCATAATTTTTTTTTCTTTTTTCCCCAACACTTTTTAAAAACAATATATATTTGTCTATAAAATTTTGAAAATTTTTCGAAAATAAATTTTTCAAAATAAAAAATTACAGATATTTTTTTCCACTCACAAAACTCCAAAAATAATTCTAAAATTCGAATACCATTTTTCAACTTAACTCTAAATACTATTTTTTTGTAAAATTTATAATTTTTATGCCTAAACGCCTACTTACATAAATATTTTTCTCACAATCCAAGAAAAAGAAAAAGAAAAAGAAAAAAGAGAAAAAGATTGTGTCTGCCTTTCTGGCAATTTCACAGACCTTTTAACACTTGTCTGTTTTTCTCTGTCGTCTGCCACTATATAGTACTATATACTGGGAACCCATTTGACGACTCTTATACTTGACCTGAAAAAAGCTAAGTATGTCAGGTTTATATAATAATAATCACAACTTCTCCCCTTCTAGAGCTGCATCTCCTCAAATTAGAAGTACTAATCCAGATGTTGACAGGTATTTGTTTCTTTGTTTTTCAGTTCTTATGTTGCTGAATTCCACATTCTTTTTTGGTTACTTGAATTGAATTCGCTGTGTGGATTGTGATTGCCATGTGTTTTGGGAACATGTTAGTAATCAGTACTTGTCGGAATTGTTGGCTGAACATCAAAAGGTTGGTCCTTTCATGCAAGTTCTTCCCATATGCAGCACTCTCTTGAATCAAGGTAACTTCTTTTTTAATCACAATTGCATATTTTCTTGATTCCTTGTGTTATAGATGATGTGTTAGATCTGACTTGATTGGCTTTTTTAACCTTCATGGATCACCATTGGTTTTTACTTTATCTGTTTTTGCCCAACTTTGAGCCGAGGGTATCTCGGAAACAGCCTCTCTACTTGACAAGTCAGGGTAAGGTCTGCGTACATATTATCTTCCTCAGACTCCACTTGTAGGAATATACTGGGTATGCTGTTTTTGTTGTTGTTGTTTTAGCCCAACTTCTCAATATGATGGGGTTATGGTCCAATAACAGAATCTGCCTTTTTAGATTTTACCCCCTTTCTTGGATTCTGTGTAAACCGTAGATTTATGTATGATTCTGTTGTTGGAATGTATTTGATTTATGAAACGAAAGTAATTTAATCCTGGAGGCATTAGAGGAGACATTTCATTTCTGGTGAAGAAGGTTCACTTGCAACTTGATTTAGTCGAGGTGTGCGCTAGCTGGTGCTGACACCATCGTTGTAAAAGAACGGTCACTTGCAACTTGAGGTTAACGAAGTAGACTCTGAATTACAACATTATGCAAATGATTGGAGGAAGTTAAAGAACATAAAAAGAGTTTATTTTCCTTCAGCAAGTTGTATCTTTCCAAATCTATAAAAATTGTAAAAACATGGCCGACCTATTTCATTTTACAGGTTTAGGAGAAAATGAGTTCAAGCTCATCAGAATTTGCTTTTAGTGCATTGTTAAGAATAGCTCTTCAAGTTTGAAATGTTGCTCTCAGGGGTTTTGTAACTTGGACAGTTCTGTACTTCTGTTAATGAGAAAATTTCAACTTAGGTGATAGAACAGTTTCGTGGAATAACCTGCTTGAGAGTGGACATTCAGTTCTGGCTTCGCTTAAAACTTGAAAGAGCTATCTGGCCACTTTGGAAAGCTTAAGATTTGTTTAGGTGCAAATTCTTAAATTTATGCTCTTCATGTTAATGTACTTGATCTGGATCAGTTTGGGTTGATATGCAGCTTGAGTTATTAAGAACTCAATATTTGTGAGTGTTACTCAAACATGTTTATTCTCCAGGTGGAGGTAGCATAATATGTTTATTTCTCTTAATTTTGTGGTACTTTATTGTCTAGCTTTTGATGTGATTATGATGCCAATTCTGTTGTTAAATAATTTTGCACGTCATAGTTATAATGCTATTTGTTTGGCTTGATCAAAATAAGTAGATTATGAGTTTGAGCAACTTACGGGGTATTTAACCATTTTTTGTCATAGTATTGTGCTATTTTTGCAATATTGATTTGGTGATAGATTACCATAACATAATTCTGATTTTCAGAGATCTTAAGGGTATCAGGAATGACGCCAAACCAGATTCTTGGTGAGCTAGACAGATTTCGGCATAGAAGTCCAAGCCCTATGGCTTCAGCAAACGTTATGTCAAATGTTGGTGGAACTGGATTGGGTGGTTGGAGTGGACTTGCGCAGGAGGTAAATGGCTTTGTGATTTTATGTCTGACAAGTTGTCCGTATGTGGTGGATTTCTTCTCTTGAAAGGACTGTCCCTTTACTGTCTCTGCATCACATATATCTTTAATCCTGTGGTGACTTCGTAAAGAAATAATACCATTACGTGGTCTACTTAAAGTAATAGATATAATTGTTGGTATATTTCCACTTCACTGGAACTAGATACTGAGGCAACTGAAGTATACTGAGCTTTAAGAAGTAATAAAAGTCAAATGGTTTCAGGCTGCAATGTTCTGTGAACTTATGGTTAGAAACATACTTCTTGTTTCTGCATCTGAATACAACAACAGCAACAATAACAACAGCGCAAGCCTAAGCTGGTTTGGTTGGTTATAAGAATCCTTATTATTTATGTTGCTCCATTTAACTGAATCTGGGTACCAAAATGAATCATTAGCTTTTTTAGATTTGATTTGCAGAAGTTCCTGACGCTTGTTTGGTCTCATTATTTTGAATAAGCACTATTGTATTGATTTGAGCACCAAGGGAGTGTGAGGGCTAGAAGCCGATGAATTAAGAGAAAAAAAAGCCGTAGTAGAGCTATACAAATCTAGATCTAATGATTCAGCAAAAAGTTTAGTAGCTGGCAGGATTTCTATGATTTTCTCAACAGTATAACTTGGACGTATATTGTTATTAAGTGGATAAGAGCTAATTTCCAATCGTTCAAGAACTTAGATTCTTAATTTTCATGCTTACCACTAAAGAAGTGGAGATAGGGACTTGATCAGCTTGTTTCTTCTTCCATTGGTCATTTGATGTTTAGCTAGTTAAATCTGTTCCGAGATACCGCTGTTGTCGCGGAGCAGGGGAAGGATGTGTGGTGATTACCCCAAAAAGCTTCACTTTCTTTGAGGCATTTGGAGGCTCGCGCAGCACAACAAGCGAGCAGAGCCAGGCCCAACGATTTCAGTTGTTACAGATTTTCTTTAGACCTGTTTCTTTTTATGGTAATGGTGTCTGGGTTAACTTAAGCATGCCTCAACTAATCCACAGTGCAGCCTGCTAGCATACAAGCACAGTTACCGGGTAAATCTGCCACCAAGGTTGGAGCAGATGGATTCACACTGAGTGTTGTAGCTAGGATTCATACCTAGAATCTCCAGATTTCCTTTAGACCCTTATTGCAACTTGCATATTGCGTTGCATTAAATGAAAGTCTAAATGAAATAACCTTACTGATTCTTAATTATCTAGTCCTACTGTTTATGAAGCTGAAGTGTGCTCTATCTTAAGGCAGCACAAGTAAGTTTCTAGAGGTTGTTGAATAAAACTACAGCAGTAGCTAAATGGAATTGTTGGGAAATAATGTAGAGTGCATTACCATTTAGATAGTAGGAATGCACTAGCACTGCATGTCGAATGGGAAGGATCTTGTCACTGTCTTAATAATTTCATGTGAAGCAGCTAGCGAGCTCTAAACAGTAATGCATAATGCTGCTCAATGTAATACAGGGTATATTTAACTTTTATGCATACTTTTGGTGGGAAAACTGGTGAGAATTTGATGCAGAACAGGTAAATTCCGTACTGAACACAATGGAAATTACTTTGGACCAAAATGGTTAACACATGTAGTTAATACTCAGAAAGAAAGTTACTTTTATTGTATGAAGATGGTGACTATATGACAAATAGCCGTGATTTGGAATTATATGAGAGTTTGTATTACTCATAATTTTCTGATGAACTTGATTCTTTCACATTTATGCATTTTAATAATGTCACAACTGAATTTGTGAATTATTCACATTTATGCATGTGAATGGACATGCATGTTATTACTTTTAGTCATCCATGTTTCTTGTTTTCTTTGTTAGTATTTACTATTTGAAGGTTTATTTGAGTTCTGCGACATGAGAACCTTAGATATTTAGAGCAATCACTAAGCAAGGTTCGCAAGGATTTGGAGAAACCTAATAGAAAACCGTTGTAAGTACACAAGCAAGTGCATGTTTTAGTGGAAGTTAGCAAGAACAATAACTGGGCGAGCGATCATTAGTATCTTACTGCATAATGGTGGTCATGATCTTGTTCTACTTGCAGCACGACAAGAGCACTGCTCTTTCCCTACAACAAGTTCAGAGACTGGTTCACTGTATAGGAGAATGAACAAAATAATGAATCGTGGGATTCCTCCTTTTCAATTGCATTCTAACGTCCAACAGTCCACAATCAAGGTCTGAACAAGGTTAGCTGGAACCAACATTGACAATTACCAAACCTGAGATGAGCTTGCCCAAGTATTTGCCTGTAAAATTTGGATAGTAAAGATTTAGATGTTGAGATGATGAATTTTCTCAACTAGTTGTGACATTTATATACGTAAAGGAGGGGTTATTCTGCTGAGATGATGCCTTGTTCAGGTTTGGGACTTCTCTCGGTTCTTGTGATTACTTTCCATGTCATTTTTTATCCAGTAGCATCAGAAGATGGTTATCTGTTTGATCTAGAAACAAGAATATAAGGGATTCTGAAGTTCTTGAGTCACATTCCATGTAATACTGGGCATAAGCATGTGAATACAATTGATTTTGGACATATAATTTGGCACCGAGAGAAAAATATTATAGGTAACATGGGTGACATGAATGTCTAATCTGGCTGTTTACCCATACAGCTTTGAAACAAGAATGTTTCTTTCGGTGGTGGTATTGTTATCAGTTTATCCATCAAGATATCGATGTTCGAGTGAAATGTTAGAATATTGACAACCTAAAAGAATATAGATGGACTCCCACTAAAGATTTTGTTTTTATCATTTCCTTAGGCATAGTGGCCTGAAGATCAGAATGTGAAATTTATTGGCGAATGGGTGAAGATACAGATTGTTTTAGAACTTTTGAGCCGTTATATATAGCACATCCTTTAGCAGTTGGCATGTGAGATAATGAAAGTCAATCTCTCTCACTAGTTGAATTTTATAAATATGTGGATCTTTGGTTTCCCCATTCTGATGATTCATTTGATAATTGATTTTTAATGCTTAAGAATATAGCTATGGATTTTCTTGTCTTTTGCTTCCAAAGTGTCAAGCACTTTGTGTTGTGTGTTAACCGGTTTCTTTTATTATTTTCTCCCCTAAATATCAGTTTCTTAATTTGTGGCAGAGATTAAGTGGATCTACAGGAATGTCAATGGACTGGCATGGGGCACCAGCAAGTCCTAGTTCATACACTGTGAAAAGGATACTGCGCTTAGAAATTCCATTAGAAACTTATCCAAATGTAAGGGCTTATTTCTTGATTTCGCACACTGGCTGTCAGTGCTGTATAGTTTTACTTGGGGCAAATAAATCTGTGTCTGATCTAACTTCTGTTTGGATTTCAGTTCAATTTTGTTGGGCGACTTCTGGGTCCGAGGGGAAATTCCTTGAAACAGGTGGAAGCTACTACAGGATGTCGTGTATATATTAGAGGAAGAGGGTCAATAAAGGACCCCGATCAGGTAGTACCAGTATTCTATTCTTTCTCTGCAGAATTGTCTGATTGACTATCTCATAGTTGCATATGTATATAAATTACCAATTATAGAGGTATTAATTGCGAAATCTCCAAGATACTTTTGTTGAGCACAACTTTCTTTTTGTAAGTAGTTTAGAACAAAGCATCTCATATACTTGATCATCCTGACGAGATAAGATGATTTTATTTTAAGTTAATGCCTGTCCTGCAGAACGTCAGCAAACTGTGTTCTTTCTTCTTTTTTATTAATATCTGTACAGTTTTCTGGCCTAGTTTCTCTTAGTTATCTTCATATAAGAAGGATTATATTGCACCTATTAAAGCTTTGCTACAATGATCAGTTATGTACAAACAGGAAGCATAGGAATGTTAGCGTTCAAATATTCTGTCTAATGCTTATACTCTTAATGATTTTTGTTAAACGTGTTGAACCAAGTTTCAGATTGAGGCTTAGTTTATTTGAGTTATGGACCAAACTTTGTATCGATAATTTTATTTACTCAGATCAATGAGAACCAACTTAGATGCACTCCTCTACAGTTGATTGTAAAGTTACCACTCTGTCAAAATCAGCTTGTTCCTTCGGCTTCCTGTAAACCAGATTTTTATTTTTGAAGGTTTCTTCCAAAATTTCAGTAGGCCATTTATGCGAGCTGATAATTGGAGTTCTAATATACTTTATGCTTGATAATCTCAAGGAGGAGAACCTACGTGGAATACCAGGATATGAGCACCTGAATGAACCACTCCATATCTTAATCGAGGCAGATTTACCAGCGAACATCGTGGATATTAGATTGAGACAGGCACAAGAAATAATAGAGGAGTTGCTCAAGCCAGTGGTATGTATCTCCGATTCACTCCTTTGAGGATTGTTCAGGACTTTATGCTATTAATTAAACTGCACATGTATTAATTACTCCTCACAAAAAGGATGCAATTCTCAAAATACTAACAGTTGACTACTTAATTTGCATAAAGATATTATTGTAGTCAGAAGGCGGATCCACCTTGCGACCTACGAGTTCACGTGAACCTAATAGCTTTTGTCCAAATAGTGTAAATGTGTACGAAAAATTCACTAAATATCTATAAATATTTGAATGTGAACCGAGTTACTGTTGAAAATTTACTCGAGGTCGTTACTGGAACCCATAAGCATCAAATTCGGGATCCGCCTCTGACTGTAGTAGTGTAGTTGACTATATAGGTGCTCTATGATGGGAGAACCAGTTTAAGTATCTGGCACCAAAATAAATAGTAGACAAAAACTTGGCTGCGATCCTTTTGCCTAATTAGGCACATTTCAAAACAAACCAAGATAAACCAGTTTGCATGTCGTCTAAACTTGCTGCCTTAGTCTTATGCAATGCTACCATTTACAGGACGAATCACAGGATTATATAAAGAGACAACAATTGCACGAACTTGCCATGCTAAATTCAAATTTCAGGGAGGATAGTCCTGGACCAAGTGGCAGTGTCTCTCCTTTCAATTCTGGTGGATTGAAACGTCCCAAGACTGGCCGTTGAAAGTTCAGACATTCAACTTGTTGATCTCATATCCGCATAGCTTCCTAAACCCAAGATATAAAGAAAAAAACAGGTCAATAGTGTGGTCGCGTTGTGGTTGGCTTGTGGATTTTATAATTTTTTTCAACAGAAGAAACAAACAAATAGAAAGCGAGTATAGAGGAAGAATAGATCTTGTGGGTTATATAGTTGGTTCTTTGAATTATTTTTGGTCATGCCAGTTCTTGTAAACTTCTTCCATTGGATTTATTTTTGTGTTATTAATTGCAATATAAGATATTACATTATTACTGTCTCAGTGTAATGTTTTCTAAGCATATATAGGTCTTTCTTCAGCTTGGCCATTTGAGTCTAATTACAACTGAACAATTATTATCATAGAATCACCTATATAGTTGCTTTTACTAGACTCAGATTCATGTATATGGTTCTTGAAAGGTTATGTGCAGATTATAGCTATACTTTTATGCTGAGGGTAGCCCGGTGCACTAAGCTCCCGCTATGCGCGGGGTCCGGGGAAGGGCCGGACCACAAGGGTCTATTGTAAGTAGCCTTACCCTGCATTTCTGCAAGAGATTGTTTTCACGGCTTGAACCCGTGACCTCCTGGTCACATGGCAGCAACTTTCCCAGTGGCTTAAACGAATCTCTGATGATGTTGATATTGTTGGTTCATATACCATTGTTCTTTAGTTCAATTCGCTTCAATATAGCATAGGAGTATGAAAAGGTAACCCCAGAAACATTGGAGTATGAAAAGGTGACACCATGTGACAAAATTAAGAAAAGTACAGAAAAAAGAACCTCAAATTTGACTTTAATGTATAGGTAGCAGCCTATTACCAAACTCTGAAAACGTGACAGCCAAAATTTGGAGAGTTCGGAACCCAATTGTGGTTCTTTTGGACTCAAAATACATAAATAGGTGGGAAAAAAACTTAGTAACCAAACTATACAAAACGCGCTTTTAATCCGCGCTTTACCTTAACGTCCGTTTAGGATGTTAAGGTAAAGTGCGTTTTAAAACTGCATTTTATATAAAACGCATTTCAAACCACGCTTTGCCTGAAGCTTATTGGACGTTTAGTTAAAACGTGGTTTAATAAAGCGTTTTATATAAAACGCCTTAATAAACCACGCTTTGCCTCTTCAAATACCGTCCCCTTCCCTTCCCCCACGTTCAAACCAGAAGCCCCCATTTTATTCTAACAGCGATTCCTTCCCCCTNCACGTTTTACCTGAAGCTGATTGGACGTTTAGTTAAAACGTGGTTTAAAAGGACGTTTTACATAAAACGCCTTAGTGAACTGCGCTTTTCCTCTTCCCCCACGTTCAAAAACCAGAACCCCAATTTTAAATATAGAACAGCGGTCCACCCCCCCCCCCCATTAACGAGATTAAAAACTCGAGTGGACCCCACCCATCCCATAAAAAGTAAAGAGTGTTAGTCCCACATCCTAGCTAAGGCCTTCTCTCGTTGTGGCTGCGTGTTTCAGACTAAAATCTTCAATTCTTCAACATTCCAAAAAACATAAATCGAGGTATTCCGATTTAATTTTTGTCGAAACTCGTATAAAAAAATGCATATTAGTTGTTTTACATGTGTTCTATGTTGTTTTGTATTTTTTTTTGCGATTAAACTAGTATGCTATTTTTATCCGGACTTAGATATTAGTATGCTAAAAAAATATGTCAAAATTGAGAAATCATTATTATTTGTTAAAAAAAATGTTAATAATTTTTTTTAACTGTTGTATATGTATTTTCGTGAATGTTTTGTGATTAAATGTATTTGTTATTTTTATCTGATTTATATTATTTGCTTAAACACTAGTAATATAATACCCTTTTAGGGTAGTAAAATGTAGTGCCTTTTAGCGTAGTATCCCTGTAGTTTAAGCATCTCTTATACTCAAAAATACGTCAAAATAACTGATAGATCAAACACAAACTCTGTCCAATTATAGTCAACGATCGTAACAAAATAACATGAGAAAAGAACAATATTATCCGGATATCTTGGTGCTACTGGGCCGCAAATATCGAGCCTGGAACCCATATGTGGATATTTAATAATTAAATATTTTATAATTATAAAAATTAATTATTTAATTTACAAAAAAACATATAAAAAAATAAAACTAACACATACAAGAATTCAGGATATCTTGGTGCTACTGGGCCTCAAATATCGAGCCTGGAACCCATATGTGAATATTTAATAATTAAATATTGTATAATTTTAAAAATTAATTATTTAATTTACAAACAAACATATAAAATTATAAAACTAACAATACAAGAATTCAAGATATCTTGGTGCTACTGGGCCTCAAATATCGAGCCTGGAACCCATATGTGAATATTTAATAATTAAATATTGTATAATTATAAAAAGTAATTATTTAATTTACAAACAAACATATAAAATTATAAAATTAACATGTAATTAATGATATTTAATTTACAGTAGACGACATGGAGGTGCCGCCTATTCATCCCGGACCTTCCACCGATGAGCTACTGTCGTTACAGGGCGATCATAGGTCCGCCCACATATGGGAGGGAGAGTTACTGTCCCAGAATCTCCGCGTCAGGAGAGTGGACGACATGTGAGACTTTCTTCATGGTAGAGTTCTCCATCCCCCGTGTAGTCACACATCTGCGGGAGACGGGCTTCTACAGGATTTTGGAGATCGGGCGGCTGCAGCTCGATTGGTCTTTGGTCACGGCCCTGATAGAGCGGTGGCGACCGAAGACGCACACATTCCACCTTCATCATCTTGAGCAGCTAGATGATTTACCCCAGTACAGCTGAGGTGCTGCTGTTCTCGCTTGCTTGTACATGCAGATGTGCCGGGCGAGCATGGGCACCCAGCGTGACGTTGCTGGATTTTTGCCGCTACTACAAGTGACAACATATTCGAATACTCTATTCATTTTAACATACCTAGTAAAATTATATCTTAAATTTTACGTCAACTTTTTATGTTAGGTTTAGGCCTGGGAGCGGTTCCTACAGTTGCATCCACCTCTACCACCATTAGATCCGGATGTACCATCTCCGTTGCTCCCTCTAGCTAGGAGGTGGGTTCTCCGGCGGGGACATACGCGTGAGTACGAGGCTCGGCATAATCTCTCCTTGTGCAGGGATATCTTGGATTTGCTGGAGGGCGCACAGGTAAATGTATATCTAAGTCTACTTGTTATAGCTTCACATGTTTTGCGTATACTCACATTTTCTGTTCTTACTTAATAGTTCATCTGGACGCCATACGGCAACGCGTTGATAGTTGGCTTGCCCGATTATTGCTCGGCCGGCCGACTTATGTGGGGCTCTTCCGTCCCGTTGATCTGCCTTGATATTGTGGAGCATCATGCCACCGAGCGGGTACTTCACCAGTTTGGTCGTCCGCAACTCGTATCGACACCGCCCACCTGCCAGACCACACATTACCAACGGGATGATCGTTCCAGGGTGGACGACGCATATTTGGCATGGCTAGAGGAGCATATTGATACTTGGGATCGGCGATTTGACCTGATTCCGCCTCCCTTCATCAACTCGGCTGGATACTGAGCATGATTATATGGACTGGTACTGTGGCGTTACCCGACTTTTCGTCGGGAATCCCATTCATTGAGCTGGCGGTCGGTACGTTCTATACGCCGGGAGGCACTGGTATGTTATTTGGTATTCTTACTTATAACTGTGACCTAGCGTTCCGTAATTTATATTTTACATGTTGTGCAGGCTATTGGCCTACATTTATTCCACTGGTTGGAACTGTATATGCAGTAGCATGCCGGCGAGGGAGCGGCCATTTTGCGCGAGTATGGCCGGCAGGTTACAGAGCTGGCTGCCCGGACACTGCAGCGAGCCCAAGAGGACGAACGCTTAGTGCACGTCCCTGCTTATGTGGTGCTAGAGCACTACCATCGAGGTAGGCCTGTCCCACGAGGTAGGGAGCACGAGGCAGGGTTGTCCCACGAGGCAGGGCTGTCCCACGGGGTCGTGGGGGCCGGCGAGGAGGTGGTCCCCAGCAAGGGGACGTTGAGGCACCTGTTGAGGATGTTGGAGCTGATCTGCCGGGTGACCTCCATCAGCCAGACGAGCATCACAGCAGCATGCCGTCATTCAGCCTTCAGCTGCCGTTCACTCCAGCGACTTCGCAGGTGACCCCAAGGGCACGAGCATTGCCGGAGTTGATTGGGAGCAGTACTTTTCAGGCCCATCGACCGCTGCTGAGGATCGGCCGACCCGAGATGTGGATGGTGGGCGCCGGCTGAGTTATGGCTCATCGGGTGCTGGGGATCTTTCACAGGCGCATGTATGTTATTGCTATTAAATTTACATTTGTTTTTATCTCATTGATTCGCCATAAATAACTTTATGGTTTTCTTATTAAGGCTTCATCCCCGCCCGTCATGGAGTCCACTTTGTGCGATGCTGACCAGGATGCGACGGATGCTTATATTCAGGAGCCCGATGAGACCATGGTAAGACAATTTAATTTTTTTTTACTTAACACGTACATTACTAATATATATTTTCATATACTGAGCTGACTTATTCTTCTGTAGGTTGCTGATGGACCGACGACCCCTTCTACCGATCCTGCCAACACTATTACGATCATGCTGCAGCGCATCCTGCGATAAAGAGGCGAAGTGATGATGATGATCCTGATAGCGTATCCGGTCGGGATGGGATGCACCTCAGGCCAGCGGCTGCATTGAAGCACACAGGCTGTGGGACACATTGATTTTTTGTTTGTTTGTATTTTATGTAAATAATAATAACAATTTTTTATGTTTACATTATATGCGCATTATATTTTTAATTCTCCGTTTCTTCTTTATTTTAATACTACAACACAAACACAAATATTGCAACTTAACATAATTTAAATTCAGTACAACTAATGAAAACACATGACACGGGAAACACAAAGATAAAGGACTACACTCAACACATACATGTCATTGTTTAGTCACGACCGCCTATTATTCTCTGCTCCAACCACTTAAATTTCTCTTCCAGCTTATTTTTTTCTTCTTCCGCCTCTTTTAGTTTCTCCTTCAACTCCTCAATTTCTCGTTTATATTCTCGTTCATATTCCCACTATTTTTGGTCAAATCATGATAATACTGCAAAGACTCTTTGTAGCATTCCTGCTTACAGAGTTCATCAAACCATATCTCAAAATTGCAAAAATTTCCGTTGTCGCCTCCAAACCTGTTCACACACATCCAGTATCTGCGCCCAACTTGACCATCTTCCCAACAGCCCGCCAACATACATCGTTTGCCACATTGGCACATTGGTACATAAA